ATGGGGGGGGGGTTCATCTATGCAGAAGGAATGACAATATAATCTGAGTGTTTGAGACACCTAGCGCCTGTTCCAACGCGGCATTTGCTGGTGTTTGGTGAGAACAGTCGGTCATAGAACCGAGCCCTATGCAAAGCCTATTTCGCATCGCTTCACTGTGGACTTTAGACGATCGATGGAGATATTGTTGTAGGCTGTTTAGATATGTTGCAAGAAGACAGACGGATAGATGGATAGACGCAAACCTTTTGATGTCAGGAAGTTTATAAAATACTACCGTGGGGGGGAGATTGTATTAAAAGCTGCAATCGAGAAAAGCCACCCACGTAAGCTTGCGACCGTCATTGATACTCTGAAATGTAATTTATGAGCATCGTCTAATCTTCAGTTGTGCAGTGATGATTTTTGAAAGCGAATTCGTAGGGAACGATATGCTGATGTGCAAAGTCTTTCATCCGAGGCATTAACAAACGCTCCACACATTTGAATCCAATTGAGGACACAGAGATTGGTCTCCAACCTTCCAGCTGTCTAGGGGTCATGTATTTTGGCATGGAGGTGACCCGAATAGCTTGCCATGCGCTTGGAAGAAGGCCATAATTAACACAGCGATTTTAAATTTCAGTAAACGGCCTCGACAGCACTTGGGCCTCAAGCTTCATAAGGATTCAAATATGGGCAAACAGCGCTAAGAACTGCTTTCTTACTGTCCAGGAGCTTAACTTCTTCACACATGGAATGCATGAATTTTATTGGCATTTATTTTTCATGCATGATCATCATTCTTCCGTCATTCTCTTGCCCCAAATTATTCCTTTTTTGGATAATAGTTTAATACCGACCTGACAGCTGCTCTTTGCTCCTCTTGCATAGCACAGTGCTGTCAAATGGATAGCTGCTTAGCATTGATTTAATATAACACTGATTCTTTACTTTCTTGGTTTACCGTTCTCACGCCGCCAGGGCATTGATTTATCTAGCCATCTTTATTTGGGGTAAGTGTGGATGAACAGTTCATTGAAACGCTTGCACAACTAACGAGACTAGCCATTTTGTAGACATACTATCTAACCTTACTCATCATTGTTCAGTTTCTGCTCAGATTCAACGAATTATTTGTATTGTATGTTGTCTTGTTTGCTTTACATAGAATAAATAAATATTAGCCTTTAAAATAGGGAATTTAGCTGTCTTAATGAACGGAGAAATTTTCCAGAACAAAATTTCACATGGTACAGCGCCGTTCCTTTTTCGTAATAACCCCTGAGGAATTTATAAGCCAACCAGATCTCCAGTGTATTCGAGTAACTGTTACTGGGTATTTTTTGGCATGGTTTTGTTTCGGGCTAGAAAAGCATTACCTTGTTTTTCACCACTGCCGTTTCCAAAGGCAGCACTGTTAATGCTTTCAAAATCAATCAATAATCGAAACCCTTAACCTTTTAATCTTGATTTCGAAAACTAATTACGTTCTGTTTTGTGCACTAATTGGTATGAATCCGATATAGATAGACAACCAGAAGAACCACCAATAAAGAAATAACCGTTTTCAGGGCAACAAATGAGAATCTGCTGAAACATTGTCAGCAAAAAGAAAACTAACTGACATCGTTCCTCCGCTTATGTGTACAGTCATAGAACCTTTCACAATTCTTTTGGTTATTATTT